AAAAACGTTTTAGCTTTGGATTGCCTTTGGATACCTTCTGCTTCAGACTCCATGTGATAAGGTCCTAAGAGCTGGTGCTCTCCATGTCAGTGAAGTATTGAATTCACTGTGGGTTTAAGTCTGAACTTTAAAGAAGCTATGCAACACCTGTTCCCAAACTAGGTTTAGTAATAGTATCTTTAAAGTCTGGACTAAAACCCAAAATGGATGATTCAATACCCAGCTGGCATGGACACTACCTGCCACCATTGTGGATTCTTCATGGCTATCCACAGAACAAGAGCCCTATCAGTAGTTCCCATGATTATGGAGGAAGGGGAGACCAAAGCTGTATTCACTCACCTCACCTTCTCCATCACATCTCTACTATCTCCTCCCGCTTCTAAAATTATAGATTTGGAAGGGACTCAGGTTGCATCTACACTACAGAATCAATGCAGCATTGGTACCAGAGGCAGAAATAACATGGGGAGAAATCCCAAATGTTCCAGCACCACAAAAAAGAAGAGCAGTTCAAGATACTTCAGTGAACTTTTTTTATTATCAAAAATTAACAATAGGCATGCGTGAAATGAAATGACTAGGTAGGTAAGCCTTGGATAAATAGACAAAATCATTTTGAATGTTCTAGAGTCCACTTGAAAGTTTCCTCCAGGGATTTCTTTCTTTTCACATCCATGTTTCTACCAAAACACAATTTTTTTTCTGTGAAAAGTACACACTCCTGTATTCTTCTTTGGATTCTTGGTCATGAGTGCCATAGCTGTTGATACTGAGATGCCTATGTCTAGTTCTTGATTGGATCTATCTCTGTCATTCCAAGTTGGTTGCAGCCCTATTTTGATGTAAGAAGAGGTGTATCCCTCAGATGGCAGCTCTCAGGTGTCATTAAAAAGGTAAAGGCAGTCCCTTGACATGAATAGCTAGCAGTAACTTACTGTAGGGGGTGGTGCTAAGCCTGAGCACCAGTGTTGTCCAAGAACTGCTTTGGTGTTCACATGGCCAGCATGACTGCACAGAATGCTGTTACCTTCCCACTGAAGTGGTACCTATTTATCTACTTGCATTTGCATGGTTTCAAACTGCTAGGTTGGCAGAAACTCAGACTAGTGACAGGAACTCACCCCATCATGCAGCATCCAGGCCTTGAACTGCCAACCTTCCGATCTTCGATCTTCATCAGAATTGGTGTCTTAACCACTATGCCACTACATGTCATTACAGAAACCAGAAAGAAACTGTCTTCCTAGATGTGGCTTCACGGTGATGAAACTTCCTTCCAAATGATATGCACCTTGCTTTTTCAGAGCAAGCTTTCAAGTAAGCTCTAAAATGTTTCTCTTTCAGACTGCTTTTCCTCAATATATCTGTCTTTAATGTTTTTGGGGACAGCTGGTGGCTTTGAAGAGTTGTTATATAAAAAAAAGTACATTATCAAGCTTTGGTTTGTTGGTTGTGTGATTCTTATGAACTTTTTTTTTTAATTGTTAAAGGTTATGTTAAACCATGCCAGTACAACATATGGCCCAAGGGCTGTATGTGGCTTGCCAAAGGATTTCAGGTGGCCCATGAGGCTGTGGAACAACTTCAAGGCTCATCCACTGCTTGGCCCTGAGGAGAGGGCCATGTGGAAGTGGAAGGGTAAATGCTTGCCCTGCAAGGCTCCTCCACTGCTCAGCTTTCTTCTGAGAAGGCTGGGCAGCAGAGGAGGAAGATGCTTGCCCCTGAAGGCTCCTCTGTTGCTTGGCCTCCTCCCAAGGAGAAGTCCAGGTGGAGGAGGAGAAGGACAGCCAAGGCTCCTCTGCTACTCAGATTTCTCCTGAGGCAGAGGAGGAGAGGATGGAATTAATATTAAATAATTCTAATTAATATTATTAATTAATATTAATTATTAATTAATATTTAATTAAAACCTATCTGCAGCCAGAAGAAGTTTAGTCTATTTTAATTTTGGCCCCTATTTAAAGCCAAGTTGTGCAGGTCTGTGATAGACCTAGAAAGCCTAGATGCTGCTTTGTGATCATTTTTCTGTGCACTGCTGTGTGAGGGCTTGGCCCTAAAAGGCGATTATTAAGTCATTAAATAAACCTAATAATAAAAACTACTACTACTGCTACTACTACTACTACTTCTATGTGGATTTAACTGGTTGGGCATAAGTTGGAAACCCTCCCCAGCATCATTTCCATTAAAATGAATGGTAGCCACAGAGTTGCCAATAAAATTCATCCCTGTACCTCCCTGAAAATTGGCAAGAGAAGAGGATGACATTTAGATCTTTCACATTAGATTTGCCAAGACATTGAGGCAGTTCTCCTCAGTTCAAAATATTCTTGAGTTAATGGTCAAAATCTTGTTGAGTCAAGGGATGCAGCTGGCTACAGGAACTGATGTTTTATTTTATTTTTTTTTCTCCTTAAAAAAACCCAAACAGTTCTGTGATTTGTATTGTGGTTATTTTAGCTTGTCCAATTGCTAGGCTTGTTTGTATTCTCTTCCCCCTCACCACCCACTTTTACTGAGCCAACAGTTTCCTTGACTTTGGGTGCTTTCAGAAGCCATATTTACATCATATGACAGCAGCCAAATAAATGCAGAGGCATCTGTTTAGCAT